TCGGTCTTGCTGTTACCGCCTAAGGAAAGGGATGCACATGTTCTTTTCCTTTGAGTGTGCATCACCAGTGTTTCACAACAGATGCATAACCTGCCGGGCACTAGTACTTACTTCTTAGTAACTTAGGCCAGCAAACAGGCCTCCTTCTCTTCCAACAGACAGACAGCAGCCTCTAAGATGATCAAGTGTTAAACAAGGAATTTTCCAGTTAATACTTGTCCCGATGGAATTTTCTTTTGCATCTTAGTATCTCCGAACAACAGCTTGGATATGATGCCTAGCTACCAAGTCCGGTCATGAGAGCCAGATCCGACTTTTCTTTCTTTCTGATTCAGACACAAAGCAGCCTTATATACGGTTTCCAAGGCTCTTGATTTTTTGAAACATGTAATCATTTTATTGGGGCTCATACAACTCTTATCACAATCCACCCATCCATCCATTGTGTCAAGCACCTTTGTACATTGGTTGCCATCATCATTCTCAAAACATTTGTTTTCTACTTGAGCCCTTGGTATCAGCTCCTCATTTTCCCCCTTCCCTCCCCATTCCCCCTCTCTCATGAACCCTTGATAACTTATAAATTATTATTTTGTCATATCTTACACTGTCCGACATCTCTCTTCACCCACTTTTCTGTTGTCCATCCCCCATAGAGAAGGTTATATGTAGATCCCTGTAATCGGTTCTCCCTTTCTACCCCACCCTCCCGGTATCCCCATTCTCAAGACTGGTCCTGAAGGGATCATCCGTCCTAGATTCCCTGTTTCCAGTTCCTATCAGTACCAGTGTACATCCTCTGGTCTAGCCAGATTTGTAAGGTAGAATTGGGATCATGATAGTGGGGTGGGGGGGTCGGATGAAGCATTTAGGAACTAGAGGAAAGTTGTATGTTTCATCATTGCTACACTGCATCCTGACTGGCTCGTCTCCTCCCTAAGACCCTTCTGTAAGGGGATCTCCAGTTGCCTACAGATGGGTCTTGGGTCCCCACAATTACACGCTCTGACATGCACCAGGCCAGTTCTACTCTGTCTGAGAGGGTCACTATGAGACAGAATCAATTTGATGATGTTAGGTAGCAGCTTAGGCACAGGGGGTTGTCCCTCCCATGCCTGCATAGAGGAGGTTGGAAAGAAATCAGGCAACCATTAGACACCTGTGAAGACCCCAAACTGAGCATGCTCATACTCAAGCCCCCAGCCAAGTGGGAGGTACACCTAGGGGGGCCAAATTGGGCCCAGGCTCATGACATCACTCCAGTGGACCTAACTCAGCCAATGGGGTCAACTTATACCATCAACCATGTCTTCCCCAAGCCAGGGGGTGGTTTAGAATAAAGGCAGGGAGCTTTGGGACACTCTCTCTTACCCTGCTCCTGATCAGAAGGAAGTAGAGGGCAGGGTCCGCCCCCTGCCTCCCCGGGTGTGGGCACACATATGCCCACTCCGCGTGTCCTCAGGGCCCACAGCCTCTTGGCCCACATGCTCTCAGCTTCTAGGGTTCTTGAGCTTCTGGCCTCCCGGGATCCCTTCAATATCCGCACGCATGGGTGCTCTTTTTCACCTGGTTTAGTGAACCCCTTTGAGACTGTAAACCTGAAACTTGTCCTGTCCATCATAAAAACCACTTGGATTTCAAAACCGGCTTCTATGTGAATTCTTTCACTGTGCAAAGCCAAGAACTAAGGTCTTACCCACTCCAGAAGCCTAACATTGACACTGAGTTTGAGCTTTGATTTTTTTTTCCATGGTGATTAAAGGTGCTTGGGTTCAGATGCTGCTGTTGTTCTGACTCATAGTGACCCTAGGCACAACACAACAAAACATTTACAATTGTTATGTTTGAGCCCATTGTTGCAGCCACTGTGTCAATCCATCTCCACGTTTTCCTCTGTTTTGCTGACCTTGCACTTTACCAAGCATGGTGTCCAAATTTTCCAGGGACTGATTTCAGTAGAAGTTCAGTAGTAACTTTGATTCATTTCACTTCTTCCCTCCTGCTTACTAACGCACAGTGCTAGACTCTTTTGCCTGGGGAGAAGGCATAAACAAGCTTACTATCTTCTGTGGGGAGGCTGGCTGGGTCTATTGTTCGCTGGTCCTGATCTTGCTGGCACTTCCCAGCCCTTGCACGGACACGGCAGGCCTGCAGGGGTCCTCAGATCTCCCTTGGAACCGTTGTTCCAGGCTCATCCCTTTCAGCTAACACTATCTTTTATTTAGAAACAGTAGCCACTGATCTCGTTACATAACATAGCAATATCCTAGGGTGTTAAACCAAGGCAGCATCTACTCCCAGGGAGTGGTGCTCTAGCCCAAATATTCCCTAGCAGAAGGTTGCTGCTACATTATAACCAGTTTTGCTTCCTGGCCCTATTTATACTGTCAGAGCTGGAAGGGATTTTAGAGGTGGTCCTAAAACTATCCTCCTTGTTTTAAATCGTGGAAATCAAGGCCTAAGGAGACAAGGAAATTTTCCCAAGAGGCACATAAAGACTAGACATCAAGCTCTTGATAATCCAAAGGAATTCTTGTGTTTTAGGTGATATATAAACCTTGTTCATGGTTTTTATTTGCTCAGCAGGCTTTCCTCTTGTTTCAGATGCTCCAAATTTGTCAGTCGTAAACAATGACATCACACAACGAAGCTGCCAGTCAAAGGCTCATACACGTGTACTGTGATACTGATGTGTTTGCTTTGTTTTGAACTAATATTGAGACTGCATCCACGTCCACCCAGATATGTTAATGCAATACCATTTGGTTGATCAGATACAAATTTAAAGCCAGCTGAGTGAAGTTAGGAGTGAAGATTTCGGACACTTTCACTTGCACTCCCAAGTCTAGGTGCAAACCAGTGTTCAAAGGGGAGTTGGAATCGGCTGCGAATCCTGAAGCATCAAACTTCTTGCTGCCCATTGCTATCCAGTAGAACTGCCCCATGGAGTTCCCAAAGGAAGCCAACTGCCACATCTTTCTCCTGTGGCGCAGCTGGTGGGTCCCAACTGCCAATCTTTTAGTTCGCAGCCTAGGACACAGTGCTGCTACTGAGCCAACAGGGCCCCCCACTTCTGATAGCTAGCGGCCCCACAGAACATGGTTTCCTATGGAAAGCTTCCTCCAGCCTCCAGGGGATTACAGCATGTCAGCGGCTTTCAATGCTCAGTGCTAAGGCTGGACCTGGCTCTCTTCCCCTGCCCTGCTGTCAGCATTCTTTCTCATATTGACCTGTTTTCCTACTGGGACTCTGCCCCACTCCACCCACCTGATACCTCCCTGGATTTCCTGACTACCATGGGTTTACTTTTTGATCTTCTCTCCCTTGAAAAATACCACTCCACCTCTCCAGAATGCGAATTTCTCCAATCTATCCCCTCTGACCATCTTGCTTTCTGGAGTGAACCTTCCTCTCAATCTTTCAAAAATTAGCAACGACCTAATTCTCTGAAGGCCTCTTTCCTATTTTTAACTCACCAACCAACTAAACCCAAGCCCATGCATGGCCATAGCCCATAGCGACCCCTATTTAGAGTTGTGAAGGACGTCTTGTACATCCACATTACTGGGCGCAGACAGCCTCAACGTTCTCCCTGAGCCGCTGGTGAGTTTGAACGGCCCACCCAAAGACTAGCGAAACACCAGGGGAAATGCTCTCCTGCTGAGAGTAGGGTCTGCCTGGCTAGGTTGGACTGACACTATTTCATTAAACCCATCTTGCCCTGGGCCCAGGGACAAGGGTCTCTAGGCTCAGTGTTAGGATTGGTTAAGGCATAAGGGGATGGAGGTGGGGTGGGGGCGGGGGTATGTATTATCTTGGTCCTCCAAATAAAGCACTAGAACCCTAGAACCCGGGTTCTGGGAATCTTTGAGACTCCAGTCGTGACCTGGGGGCAAAGCCCAAACCCAGAGAGGCAGCGTCCACCTGGGCGCTGAGAGCC